CAGTTGAGAGGTCGAATTCCAGCATCAACAGTCTTTTTTGTTTTTTTGAAAAAAATTTGGAAAAGGAATTTTTTCAAGTATACTTTCTTCTTCTTGTTTTACGTTTTCCTTTGTGATTTATTGCTTTTTAGATTAAATAAAATTGGACCATCCTTAGAAGCAATAATTCCAACCACATGATGACATGAAAAATCTAATAAAACATCCTGATTTTTTTTTTCACTTTTACTTATCCAATTATTTGATTGAATTACATTGAATTTTGAGAATAGAAGAACTGGGACGAATTTTTATTGTAATAAGATGTTGTATATATGCCATTATGTCGTATTATTTAGTGAAATACTTTAAACACTTACCAATATAGACATTTATTGATCAGATGTGGAAAAAAGGTATCTTTATTAGATTTTAGTTAAATAATTAATTTATTCTAAAAAAAGGTTAAATAATTAATTAATATTGAAAAGAACGAAGGAAAAGGGCTAAAATTAGTCCAATATAGTTCCTTGCATTCCTTTCCTTTATTATCAAAATTTAATGATGATTAGCAAAAGGGATAAATAATGTGGAAGGATAAACTCTAAGTATTGTTCATGAATAAAATTAGAGGGTTGGAAAGTTCAAAATAGATTAAGCAGATTTCTAAAACCAATTTAAACCTTTCCTTTCAAAAATATTATTAACCCACTAATTATCTTTAGTATTTGTATTCAATATGTTCATCTCATTGAGTTCGACCATTGTGTGGCAGGGGATCAAACTATCGATCTTTGAGACTGTAATAAGTGCATTATTTATTAATTTATGTTCGAATTTGCTACAACTACTATATTTCTATAGTTTCTTAGATACTATTTCTTTGTTATATTTTATCTCAATCGTCTCTTGGAGATGGCGCTGTGGTAGGGACATGAAAATCTTGTGGTATCACCTACCATGAGCTCTTCAGTTCTGTACTGGTCACAATGTTACTTAGTTCAGAGTATTTAGCAAAATAGCAGGTTAGTTTTCTATAATATATCTGACTACTGATGATATCTGTATGTGATATACAGATAATCAACTACTGATAAAAGGTAGTAATTTTCCAAAAAAAAATATATTCGAATTATCTTTGAACCCTAACCGAAACTGATCCACATAGGTCACAATTCTCATTTTTCATGGCATATAAATAAGTGGGTTTAGGTTATTAGGGTTGGAGAGAGCAAAAAGAGTTTAAAGAGACAGCATTAATTAGGACAAAACGATGGATCCTACCTTATTAATGAGAGCTGCTGAGGAGGCTGAGTTACGAGAGCTGGAAAACAAGTACAAAGCAATAACAAGAAAGACAACCGACACATCGGATGAAGGTAAATCAGTACAGCAACTCCCAAAATATTTTGCTTTGCAACGATTCAACCCAAGTTCTTCAGACCCCAAAACTGGAGCATATCTGCGGTGTGTACAAGATCATGAGATTTTAGAATATGGATTCCTCAAAGTCTCTGGGAAAAGTGTGCTGAGTCCTTATTCGAAGATGGAATCCGAGGCGTCCGAGTCCAGCCCCAAGCACGTGCACATAAGATACTGTAACAACAATAAATACTGGGTTCGACAGTCGCCTGACTCTTTCTACATTGTGACTGCTGCAGCAGAGAAAGAAGAGGACCGATCCAAATGGAACTGCACCTTGTTCTCTGCCTTCTACATGCATCACGGCTCCCACGAGGTGTTTGGCTTAAACCATGTGCAGCTCGGCTTGGCCGTGCTGTATCGATCCTATGATTCCAATGACTTTTTGAATTGCCTCTCGGCCGAGGACAAGTCTATACCCGTTGATGTTAATAATTTCTACTACCTCTCGGAAGATTCATTCCACGCATTTGTGGACTGGGATTCATTATTTATATTCCCAAAGCACGTCACCTTTAAGGGTCGCAATGACAATTAGTACTTGAGACGCAATGGTGAGTATTTGCAATTCTTGGAACAGATGTTGAAGATTCATCGCTTATCCATGAAATCTTCCCTCAGAATGATGGAACTATTCGTATCAGGAATGTCGGTTCTCGAAAGTTTTGGATTCGTGATCCTAATTGGATACTCGCTCTAGCAGAAGGTATTATTCACTAATCACCTCGAATATTCRGTGTGATGCAAAAGCATTAAAGTCGTGTTTCATAATCATTTCGTTTTTAGTTTTTCACTCTTAAAAGTATAGTTATTCTTGCTTCCCTACAATTTCTTTAGTTATGTTTTTCATATTTATTAAAAGTATGTGGATTCTTAGCCAAACTTMAAAAACAAAAACARGTTTTCAAAATGAATATTACAAATATTACAAATATGTTTAGTGTTTCTAATATACGTCATATTAAATATATCAATTAATAATTGATATATCCTAGCAGTGACATACTTGACATGTTAATAAGAAACCTGTAATTGTTAATTAAACCCAAATYCTCAACTCAAATAAGATTTTATCAATAATATACCTAATATGATGTCTATATACCATCCATTAAGTGATATATTTCATATTATATATATAAGTTATACCAGTGATATTTTCTACATGAATTGATATTGTCAATTAGAAAGCTATAATATTACTTAAACCAAAAGCATAACTGATATATTWAATATATCGTCCATATATTTAGTATTATTTCATATTTGGTATATTAAGTGATATACTTTATATTTGTTACATATATTAGAAGTTGACTTTATATACGGTATATCAATTATAAAATGTATATCATTGATATACTTAATATAACTAAAACATACCACTGATATACTTGATATTTCAAGAAAACTTAAAAAAAATATATATTTAACCTAACGAAGATTTATCAATGATATACATAATATATATAAAGTGTAATATTCATATATTTAGTGTGATTGATATACTTCATATTAGGTATAYAAGTGAAAACTTTATATTTAGTATATCAATTTATATAACTAATATACCTAATATCATGAAGTATATCAACAACGAAGGCTAAATTGGAATAACAAAAAAAGATACGAAAAAAAATCTGATTTTATAAATATTGATGTATTTGCAAAACAAAAAAGTTGCTATAGTTGTAAATATATATGTCAAATGTTTGTTTTTTGACCCATTAAAAAAACCCTTTCCGAAAACTTCTTTTTTTTTTWWAAAAAAWWWTTTTWMYTWRGKTTTWAAAAWKKTWAAARRAARKWAAWTWARGRAAAAAAAACACAGGCATATTCGAAATAATCTTTATAAATTTCCAAAATAGAAAACCAAAACAAAATATATTATGAAATAGGGCGTAAATTGTCYCCGAATGGATAGCTTGGRTGACTTGGAGCTTCAAAGAAATATCCCTGAAGTCTTGGGTTATTTTAATAACCAGCTACCCTCTACTCTTTATGCAACATTAGCTAGCTACTACTGCTTTCCCTAYCTCTGCTTTGAGCTATCAATACGGTTTCCAAACTAACATAGCTGCTTTTCCTGCCCTGGATTGAGCTACCAATASGATTTACAAACTAACAATTGTAGCGTCACAAATATCTGTAAATTTCCTTCCACRGTTATAGTCTTCACCCCCTCTGAGAACGTAATCTCCATTGATTCCAACTTAAATTAGATGCTGCAAAACAATTTCCCCTAATCAAGATCTAAACTACCCAAAACAATGATSTTGATCTGACCCTTTTTGTGTTGTCAATATGTGAGCGGCCGCCRCAAAAATTGCTGCCAAAATCTCCCAAAATCGGTTTTTGTATAATCCTCTCACGGCTACAGCCCTTTATGTTCCACGACCACACACATATATGTCAAAAAACCAAAAAAAGGCAAACTTAAATGGGGTAATTGAACCCTATAATGTGTATTTGATCCAATTCCTTGTTTTTATTTAATATTTGTTTTGGTTCCAATTTTATCCCAACGGTTTATTCATCTTAACATTATTCTTAACAGGAGGCAGTAAGGATGATCCCAACACATTGTTTAAGCTAGTGAAAGTTGATCACAACATCGTGGCTCTTCGTAACATGGGCAACAACCAATTCTGCATATCACTCACCATCGACGGAAAGAGAAATTGTTTTGAATACCGCCAATCGAAATGTTAGTGCAGATGCCCACATGGAAGTCTTRCAAGCTGTAGTATCCAGAAAAATAGAAAACATTGAGTATTGCATAAATGATGCCAAAATCTATGGCGAGAGGGTTTGGTCAATGGCCAAAGGAGATGCCACAAACAAAACCAACGCAGCCGACATTGTCCAATTCACATTCACTTTTGAGGACAAAAGGAAGAACAGCTGGACCAACACATTGGGTGCCAGATTTGGTGTCTCAAAAACATTCTCTACCGGGATTCCAACCATTGGAAATGGAAACATTAGTGTTTCCTTTGAGGGTGGTGCAGCATATTCATGGGGAGAAACACATAAACAAAAAATGTTGATGTCCTGCACCAGCACTGTGACGATACCTCCAATGTCGAAAGTGAAGATGAATACGGTCGTAAAACGGGGGTTTTGCGATGTCCCGTTTTTGTATACTCAGATTGACACGCTCCGAGATGGACAACAGATCTCCCGGGAGTACGAGGACGGACTTTTCTCTGGCTTCCATTCCTACGACTTCTAGTTTCGGACCGATAAGGAACCACTGCCGGTGTGAAAAGGTAACTTACCTTGGCTTGTTTGTGTGGTGAGATTTAAACATCTCGTAAAGAATAATGTGKGGTTGCATAGCCATAGAAGCTTATGTTGCATCCTTTTCATTCCCTTTTGGGGTTTGTCATGTGTCATTATGTTTAATATTTTGAGTGTGTTTCTGTTCGTGGAACTATTAAATTATGAATTTAGTCCCTATAATTTGAGCTTTAATCTTAATTTGGTTTATGTAATTTTATATTTCGTTCAATTTGATACTTAGAGTTTGAAAAGTCTCAATTTAGATTCTATGGTTTAGTTAATTCTTACCAATAATAATCTCTGAGACCAACTTTTACCCAGTCAAGAACTCACATGTATTATATCCTTGTTCATTGCTATTCAATATAGCAATGTATTATAGAGATATCAATTTTTTTTGGTTGTAAAGTTTGAGTAAATTTATTTTTAAAACTACTTTCAAAAGCTACAGGGGCCATGTTGATTTTAACAGTTGCAAAACAAATTAAGGGAAGACTTCATGTATTCCTACTTTAATTAATCTTCTTCTCCTGGTTAGGAACTAACAATGCGGAGATATTATTCATTTTGAGTGTAAACTCTCCTGAATTTTGTTAAAGAGGATTAAATCACCAATAAACTAAAAAACTTAAACTGATAAGTTTGGTAAATTTAATTTATTTATGAGATATCTAACTCTCCCTACTTTTATTTGTATGCTTGGAAAATTGCAGGATACGCAACAAGTAGAAATCATAATAAACAACAAAGTACGTGTTTAAACACACAAGACCTCCTACTCTCATACCATGTTAAACATGATTAAACCACCACTCTATTGGAAGCGTCTGATGGACACTTGCTAATTTAGGATCAACAAGACTCGTTTGAGAATAAACAACTTTTCTTGTATTAAAATTTCTCACAAAATACACACTTGGTTCACAAACTCTCTTGTTTTTCTTCTCCACACACTTGCTTGAAATACAACAAATGAACATCCTATTTATAGGACTCCATGGAAGAATCTAGATCCATAATATCCTATCAACCTATACATACATACATGAACACACAATTAACCCATCTTAAAAAACAAAATACATGAATGTACTTGTTCATGTACCTAGGAATGTATATGCATAATGTATCTAGAATATCTATTAACATGTTTATTTTCAACACACTCAATCCAAAARTTTTATTTTTTTGACTTTACACAAAATGCTTCATAATAATTGAGATAGTTCTTCTCACTTATATACTACGTGTTTATGCACAGAATTGCACAACGCTGTTTAACGAACCAAGCTCGAACCATGTCCCCGGCTGGACCTGAACTCAAGAGTGAACCTGCACAAGATGGCAAACTCTCTAACGCTCAAGTAAGTTCTGATCGGACTCAATATTAAGTTCGAGGTGAGATTCGATACCTGTCTATGAAATGAGGCCCTCTATTTATAGGTGGTGGGTCCGACAGTGCTCACGACCGGCGGTTACCTTTGTCTTTTGTATGTCGAACCTGTCGGGTTTGAGCAGATCAAACCCGTCCAGGTCGAACCGGGGCTTTTTACACTTAGCCTTGTTTATGGGCAATCCCAATCTCCTCGGCAGGTTCRAGGTGGACCTGGGATACTTCCTTTATTCCCTGAACACCAATGAGCATCTTCCACGTGTCCARGGTATTTTTATCCCCAAACATTGGCCCCCTCTCTGTCAGGTCCGATCTCGATCTGGCTGAGAAGTTACAAGACTCAATTTAGGACACGTGGCGACTTCTAATTCGTAGAGAAAATATGATCGTTGTGGAAGATGTTTCGATCTGCCAGGCTGTCGGAGCACTCGAGTATTCCGTCGTTACGAATTTCGAAATGATCCTGRCCGTTCGTTCATTACATGTGTACGACGCAGAGGTTTTTTCGATTAGCTATAAATAGTTCCGAGACTTCAGGTCACACCTTACGTTCCCTGAATTTTTGGAGTTCGATCTGAAACCAGCTCGAACCCTCCGTAGGATAGTCATTCTTGTTTTACTTCTTTATTTCGAATATGGTGGTTTTCATGTCCTCCCCCTCCGGTAGTGATAGCTTAGGTAGCGCAGGTCGGACTATAAGCAATTCGCCCCCTCAGCCAAGTGACTCTGGGGAGGATTTAGCTCGTAGATTAGAGTYCGAGCTAGAAGAGGTAGAAAATTTTAGGTTTTCTRACGATGAGGAAGATAGCGACACTTCCACCTCGGGCCAGGGTTTGGAATACCTTTCAAAAATGCCTGAGCACTATCTTAGACCCCTCCGTAGGGGGTTTAGTATTCTAGATGACATCATCCTTAGAATTCCGGAAGAAGGGGAAAGAGCTAACAATCCTCCAGAGGGATGGGTTTAGGGTCTAGGGTTTAGGGCCTCAGACTTCCCTTTCACCCTTTTGCCCAAGAGTTCCTAAACCTAACTGGACTGACTCCTGCTCAAGTGGCACCCAACGGATGGGGTGTCATTTTTGCTTTGGCCATCCTTTTTTTGTTAGGAGCTCGAGAAGTGGACGAGGCCGATCTGCTAGATGTTGAACAGCTTCTAGTGTGCTTTGAAGCTAAAAGGATAGCTAAGAAGCCTAGTCGGTACTACATGTGCGCAAGGAAGGGCGTGGGTGGTATAGTCAAGGGGCCGACCTCCATCAAAGGATGGGTGGGGAAGTGGTTCTTTGCCTCTGRAGAGTGGCTGGCAAAGAACGAGTCAGGTCGTCCCTTCTTTGACGTTCCTGTTAGGTTTGGGAATTTAGGTATGAGGTCGCTACAATTATTTTTGCAACTTTAGATCTTTCTACTCCGTC